ATATCGGTCACGTTTTGAACGTACACGAAGTGTTGTGGGTTTATCAGAGTGTAACAAGTAAATGATATTATGCCTGTAGTAGTGTTATAAAAATAAGTTTTTTGATTCAAGTGGATATATATATTTCTAATCCGCTATACTTAAATCAAGAGCGTAGATTTATGTGGGGCTGGGGAGCTGAAGCATTCCTGCTTTCTAAATAGTTTGTTAAAATATAAATTTAGGTAAAAATTAATACTTGTTACAAATTTTGAACGTAAATAACCCTTACATGCAACTTTTAGTAATTAGATTTATTCGAGTTTATAATTATCCAAAGTATACATGTATTTAAAGTGTGGAAAACTTAGACCCCCTGCTATAATTTTGAAGTTACGCCCATTTAAATAAGAGAAGGGAGGAACAAAACCATCTAAGTATTTTTCGGGTCGAATAAAAATATTTGAAAGAATGTGTTTGATATTAGGGGATAAATGGGGAGGGAATGCATTCCGAACAATGAACACGTTAGCATGACAAGCCCTCTATTGTACACAATAAACTACATATCTTGTTTTTTGGTAACTAAACTCGGGATGGGGTGATAAATTACTCTCAAGAGGGAATGCATTCAGAGCAGTGAAAAGGTTAGCATTACAATCCATCTGTTGTACATAAGAAACTACACATCTTTTTTTTTCTCCGGGGGGTTAAATTAAATATTTGAAAACAGTAATACGTATGGATCTATTAGAGGAATCATGTTAAATATGTTGTTGTATGCAACTGAGGCTTGTAAGCTGGTTGACCACAAATAATAGCTTGCGCTGTTTCTTGTTTGTTTTATCAGACAAACATGCGCACATTAAGTTAAAGATAATATTGTTCATCGCCTCCCTCAAACATAGGAAAATACATAAAATATCTCAACAAGAACGAGGGAAACTGGAAGTACTACATCGTGTAAGAAAAAGCCGTCCAGAAAACTTGGAGAGAAACCTCAGGCTGAGAGCTCTGGAAAATGTTTCTTATTGGTTTCATATCGATAATATTTAAAATGGAGCCAGTTCATTTTTATAATTTGTAGTGATGTACAGTATGCAATCATTATAAGCATGGTGTTAAAACTAATCGCCATATAAGTTGGATTGACTTCTGTGCCTATGAGTGGATCTTGTAGGCATAGTACATGATTCATTATTTAAATCAAGTTTTAGAATGAAAATTAAGGGTTAGAAACATTTGACGTTCAATATCGCATCTCACAAAATGATAAGCAACCCAATTTGTTGTGTTGTTAAATCACATGATTCAAGAATTTATTGTTAAAATAAGAAAATGCTGCTTATGAATTAATTTAAATATATTCAAGTAAAATCAGGTCATAACCCTCACTGTAGTTGGTATATTTGTACTAGAGAGAAAAACATGTTACATGATATTTTGTGAATGTCGTATATGAATGTGAAATATGATTAATGGAAACAGAATATTTTATACCGTGAACTTTGACATGTTAGACGAAATAATTTGCGTTTAATGTCTTGGCATATGGGTCGCATACATGCGTAAACCCAGATTTGATATAATTTGAAACGATTCTGTTGCTTGTGTGGTTACCATCTACTTAGTTTTACTCGCTCAACCACCTCCATTTCCATTGGGTTGGTTGAGTAATACTTATTGTGTGAAATGAAATAATTTGGTAAACAGATAAAACAAAAAAAAACGGTATTTTCTAGCAGTTGACGTAACAGAACTTATTACAAGTCACTTAGAGGTTTTCATGATTTTCAGCGACACGCATAATAATACATTGATTGAGGCACCCTGATGACATAGTCACTACCAGATATTAGCACAGAAGGATAGTGCCCTTGCTTCTTTCGATATTCACAGTGCGAATGGCACTGCATTTATAACAATATAAGAAATGGCATCACATTATTATTATACATATACAATTATATGTATATATATATATATATATATCTGAAAGATATTGGGTATATTCTATGGCATAGCACAATAAGGTATTCGTCTTCTATGGCTATTGCTATAACGTTATTTCGTTGGGATGGCCCTTTTTAAATTATTTGATGAAAATAATTCGAATATAATGATAAGAAATTTGCTCATTTCTTTCTTGACGTTTCTACAAACTTGTACTAAGTTGAAGGCCCAAATTTACAAATGAAGTTGAAACGGAAGTACCTCCCTTATGGTACTATGATTAACGTAGAAATAAACTTACTTTTACAATTTCACGGCTAATCGATCAAATAGCGGAATATACGCGATAACTAACACTGATCCAGTATTTACTCAAACTAAATACTTCACTGGCACACTACCACTGAAAAGAAAACACAGACTCACTGATCCTCGTATTTATAATGTTGCCGTGCTTATAGATACCACATTTTAGACCTACTCCCTCAAACTTACTTACACAAATTTTTCTTAGGTGAGCATTGAGTCATCACACGGGCTAGTAAATAAGATGTGAGGTATAACTGGGACGAAATTATTATTATTATTTTTCATCACTAAATGTTTTCGTTGAGCAAGTAGAATTATCTGCCAGTAAAATAGATTAAGAACTTAGTCAGTTTTGAAAGGTTTAAACTAAATCCATTGTTTTGTTTTTGTAAGCACACATCTTTTAACTTGCACATAGCTGATTGTTCTGAAGTACCAAATTTAAACAAATTTATTTGAAAATAATCAGTTCATTGTGTATATATATTCTTTATTCTTTTTCAAGCTCTTGCCATGTGTTTTACAAAGTAAATTATTATTAATTATACATGGTACTTACAGTTTTTCCTCTGTACATTTTTATATAACGTTTTAATAATTTACTATAGTAAAACTGAAACTGCCTTAATGTATTGCAAAATAAACTGACCGAAAATGTTTCATTATAAATTCTTTTCTAAATATGTGACAGGAGAATGTGTTTTAGTTCCTTGAAATTAGGATTAATTTTAACTTTGGACATTACATTTTTAAATGTTCCATCATTTCCTACATTTGCTTAATAAATTACAATTAAATGATGTTCCTTGTGTTTCAAGTGCTGATTTGTTAATTTATGAGTTTCTCCATTTTCACATCTGAAATCAATTTAAAAAATTAACGGAAGAAATTCTTTGCACACTGTTGTAAAATGTCTGAATACAATTAAGTTTAGATACTTAAAGTCCACAAAAGACCTTGTGTCTTAGTATAATAGAAAACTGGAATAGGATAAGAATACTGTTTTTTAATCTGCTAAACTTTATTTCTATGGTTTCAAAACTAATTTTTATTGTGTGTTTTATAAGAAAATCTCGGTTGATATTGCTGATTATTTTGTTTTTTATCATATTGACTTGTGTTATATAATCTGACCAGGTTATGTTTTTGTATGCAAATGTATGTTTCTTAACTTTGTGACATTTTGTTTTATCAAAATATTTATCATGGCATTTTCACGGTGATATTATATATATAGCTGGATGATTAACTTCATTAATCAATGCCTTTGATCATCAATTACATTGATAAGTGTTAGTGAAATAATTGATTAATGGAAATTACAATTAAGTCGATTCATGCCATGAAAATGACCATCTAATCAAAATAAGTGTTTCTGACTGTTATTGTTTCTGAATATTCCAAATATTAAAGTAATTAACAAATTGCCATTATTATTTTCTATTAATTCCAGGTTGATCAGTGTAATCAATTAATGTCCCAAATTGTAAAAATAATGAGCTAATCAAAATTTGTGTTTCCAATGATAACAATTTTCATTTGTTCTAACTATCCAAGTTTCATGTGAGAATAATTGATTAGGTGAATGTAAGAATTAATAAGCCTGACAATCGCCCAGCTCTAATCATATGTAATATGTTTAGTTTTATTTTTTGTATTAAATTTATTCTGTTTATTTTATATACTATGCTAACTTGAGAATAGTTATGTCCGTAAATTTAAGCATTAAACCATTTGCTGGCTCTAGAATCATTCCATAGCATGTTTCAGAATTGTGAAAAATAGTTTTCTCAGATGTTTAGTGTTAAAGCTGGTTTACAATATGTTATGTATGTATGTATATATATATGTGTGTGTATTTATATTAAACAACACTTAATTTCAGACCCGTGTAAAACTAAGATTGTTGTATTTGTGGATCCAAAGCTACATGCTAATTATTTCTTTTATAGAACTTCTTAGCAACTATGGCTTTGATTCAGTTTATTTATGGATTTATATATGTATATTAAAAAACTTATAATGCTGCAAACTTTGCTGATAAAGTGATGCAGGAAACATTGTTTTAGCACATTATGAGGTAGTCATTGTTTTTTTTAAAGATATCTTCCAAAATGTGAGGCAGCAAACATTTTCCAGCAGAAGTTGTACTTGCAGGTACTACTATTAAAACCTTCTGAGTGAAAGTTTTCTTTGTTTGTTGTTAAGCACAAAGATACCCAATGGGCTATCTGTGCTGTGCTCACCATGGACATCAAAACCTGTTTTTTTTAATGGTTAATATGTTTATGTGTGCTTTAATTTTTCAAATGAATCTTTGTTTTCCAAAACCCACTGAATACTCTTATAAGCCAGTATCCAAAAACTATTCATTGCTTATATATTTTTACATGTTCAAACTTAAAACTTGCTAAAGTGCCAAAACCAAATACAATTATAAATTATGAGTTCATTAATACATTTCTCTTCTGCATGCTAATTTTATGAACAAACTAGGCTGTTATTGATTTCCAGAATACTGCAGATTGAACCTGTGTATTTTTTGAGACTTCAAATAAACATGCCTTGTATTATTGCTGTTGTAACCCTGTTCTTTTAATTAATTTGAATCTTGGACATATGAATTCAATGTGATAACTAGTCTGTTGTTTTTGTAACATTATTATGCTATATATTTGTGCTTTTTTAGTTCTGAAAGCGTAATTCTGTATCTTGGACAGATTATTCTGCATTTTTCATTCTAAATTTGTATCTTTTAGGTTTCCATCTAAGTGGAGTTGTGGTAACTCCCAAAATTTCCAGTAGCTCTACTTCGGGTTATTCATCAGAACCAGAAAAAAGATATAGGGTATCCATCACTTTTGATAGGTAATGTGGTTTCTTTATAAAACTGTTCAGATGTTCCACTAATAAAACCTTGATTTTTGAGTGATCTTAAACTTTGAAGTAAAAATAATCATTATTGTTATCACGTATCTTAAAATTTTAATATCACTACACAGTATTGTTTTTAACTTGATTTGTTGTCTTGATCTGTCAGACAGAGATATGAATAGCTCAGTCATTTTAATAAACTTGATAGAAAGTGAGAACTTCAACTGACTATTCCTGTTTTATTAATAGTGAGCATGAGCTAAAATCATGCAAGGTAGATGTCTGTCTATGAGGTTATCTGTTTGCTGTAAATGGGTATTTTCAGGTACAAAAGTGATTTTCCAATAATTATCAGATAGCTCTGCTAATAACAGCAATTTCTCTTAGAAAATAAGGAGAGTAATTGTGAATCTGATAACAACTGAGTTTTCCTCGTGTGTGTGAAATAATGTGACTGGACAAACTTAGCAAAAATGGACACAGTTTTTATTACAAACCAGACAAAAAAAAATACAGTTCATGCACTTGTGCAGACAGAATCACAATCAAATCTCTACTAGGTTGTGCTTAGCATCACAACTTTCACTCTCTCAGGATTGAGCTCTGTAGAACTAAAACATGCTGATTTTCAAGGGTGATTTTTGCTCTATGATCTCCTAGTAGAACCAAACTAAGAAAGTGCACCTGAATTCAACAGGTAAATATCCAGTTGATAGTGTCATCTCGTGACCTTTGTTCTCTCTTGTAGCATTGGCCAGCTCATCCAGCGAAAAATATTACAATTACTGATCTTTTTAAACTGAATGCTATGTGTTACTGCAATATCCTCTTGGTAGAATAGACATTATCTACTATAGAGAATAAAGAAACAAAGCAAATAGAACAAAGCAATCTCATTGACACTCTGGACCACACGTTTATGATAAACTACATACAAACTAAATAAGTGAAAAATGTTAAACATTCTTTATAACTAAAACAAATAAAAAATATATGGTGTTTCTGCATATCACAAACATATGTATTTAGCTTCAAGTGTATTGTAATCATGAAACATGATATTTATGGTCAAATATGAAATTACTCAAGAGTTATCCAAAATGATGCCTTTGAACAAACTATTCTAAGTATTAAACAAATCAGTCTGTTATTTGATGTCCAAAAATCTGAACATATAAGCATAAAAGTAATTTTAAAATGGTGTGTATGTGAGCATGTGAAAGTAAAAGCTTTTTTTTTCTTATAGGCAATAGGATATTTAAAAATGCAGTAACAATGAACATTAGCTTTCTGATTTTCGTTCTTTAAAATACTAAACTTTTACAGTTAAGGGAGTGGAATGAGTAGGCTGTTGTTAAACAAATACAGGTGGTAAAACTCTCCATGTTTTTGTGTTTAATTTTATTTCATTATTTATACAAAGAATTTCTATAATTAATTTATTAATTTGTTTAAGTTACAGTTGTATAAAATTATAATTAAAGGAGATTTTATGTTTAACAAAGTATAACTTTTGTCCCTCTTTATATTGATTTAAAACAACGTTGATGAACAGCTAATCACTTTACTCCCCAAGTGAGTGCTACATTAATTAATACACACTAAATGGTATTGTCTGTTAATTATTTTTAATTGAAAACCTCATTCTCCCACCCTAATTAAGTTTAGCTAGATATTATATATATACATATATATATATATGAGAAACATAAAAGGTCAATAAACATATAATATCATTATAAAGCTGTAAGATTAATACAATGTACAAGAAAGTATGTTATGTTAAGACATTTGTCTACTGAAGTACTGATTACATTAGTTATTACATTCTGTTTTTTGTTGGTATCATTGAGTTTTATTTGCATGCTTTTGAATACTGTCACAAAAATTGTTTGGCATGAAATTTATATTTACTAAGAGTCTCATTTGTTTGATTCTTTGAAGTTATCTGTTAGTTCTTACTGAAATGAATTGTATTAAAATATTATGCAATTTGTGTAAACCAAATTGCACAAAATTATGTGTTTGTATTTTATTTACAACTTACATATGAAACAACATAGGTATACATATAAATGCCACCTTATATAATTTCTGAGAGTGGCCAACCTATATCAAAGAAGTCAATATAATTAAATTATACTTTATACTTTCAGTATTTGGAAAACAAAAAAAATCTTGTCAAAAAGTCAGTCAATTTTAAATCTAAGCTCTAAATCATGAAACATACATATGTTAAAAGTATCTAAATTTTATGTAGTGGATTTTATTCAGGTAAGTAAAGCTATCAACTTATGCATTGGCTCTAATAGAATATATTCATTCATTTTAAAATCTTTGTTTCATGTTAAAGATATAAAATTACTTCTGTCTCTTGTTCTTGTGTCATATTAACCTTTTTGTTTGTTGTTGTTACAGATGTAAGATTACTTCTGTTTCTTGTACCTGTGAAGTAAAAGACATATTTTGGTGTCAACATGTCGTCGCCCTTGTTATTTATCGAATGAGGAGAGCAGTTCATGTTAAATTACGTGTTCCAATCTCAGGTAATTGTGCGAGTTGTGCATAATATACTCTTATACTTCAACTTTTTGAACCTTAATAGTACAGCAACAAAGGTTTAAAAGTCTTTTTAAAAATGTATGGTTATCCAAAATCACTTTATTGAAATAATCTAAAGAAAACTAAATTGAGGTTTGAGAATTAAGGCTGTAAAACCTAAAGCATATATATATATATATATATTATTTTTTTTACAGGTAACGCTTGAAACATGTTAGTAATAAAATTTAAATTATATATATATATGTATGTATTATAATCAAATTTAAATATCTTAACAGTATTTGGAAGTTATTCCATCATTGCAAAATAATAATGTTTTTTTTGTCAGTAAACTCTCAAGAAATATGTTTGAATTTATTCTTATGGTTTAATTCTTAACATAAAAAACCTAAAAAGCTATCAAAAACACAGTTTTATTTTATATGTTACAGACACATGATTATATTGTTGAAAAAGTCAATAATTGATCAGCACCTTTAAGCTATTCATTATGATTGTTATTAACCTTATTTAAGCATTACTTGATTTATTTTCCATCAGAAATATTGAACCATATCACAGAATAATATAAAGAACCTAATGTAGCATGTTTGAGTGTCATAACCATGTATTGTTTTGTTATACATAATTGTAATCTTTCACTGTCAGATAATTTTAAGTCTATTTATTATGTGACTGTTAATATACTATATATATTAAAAATTCAAGCATAGATTAAATAATATTAATAAAGATTATAAGAAACTTAAAAATCACAGAAGGTAAATTAAAAAATTATATAAGAGTAAGAATAACTATGGTAGTAACACCCAAACAGCATTGGGCATACCTTGCCTCTCCAGTTATTTAATAATACGCAGATAAAAACCCACTATGAAAACAACAGATAATAAATTTAAAATACTTTTTTAAAAGGTGAAACTCAGTTGCTCAAGCCCACATCATCTTGAGTTTAACCATGCATCTACATCCATGAAAATAAAGCTAGGCAATTATTGGAATTTGAAAATCAGTTAATCATTGAGCTTATGAATCAGTTACATTCAATTAATCAATCATTCTGACATGAGACATGAATAGTTGAGATAATAATAAACATCAATAATTGGAAGCATTAATAATTTTAATTACTTGATTATTTTACATGACAGTAATTGGTATAATCAATGCTCATAGGTAATCTATCAATCAAATTAAATGCCCAGCTCTAAATTGGCAAGTTTTGAGCATGATGGTAACCCATTTAAAAAATATCTGGTAATAGTCCTGCTATTATTAAAAGATTTTAAAAATAAATAAAAACTATAGTATCCTCCAACAAAGTTAGATGTCTAGCAATGTGACACCGAACAACCACCAATAAGTATAACAGAGCTATTATACTGTCCAATATAATTTGATAAGAAAACACCCAACTTTTTCCCTATAATTATATCACAATATAACTATGATACTTTCCAATACAACTTAATTTGGTAACACACTCAACCTGTACCTATAATTATATCACAATAAAGCTATAATATTTTCCAATATAATCTGATGATAACACACCCAAGTTTCACTCATAACTATATCACAATAAAGCTATAATACCGTCCAATACAGTTTGATGATAACACACCCAGTCTTCATTTACAGCTATACCAAATTAAACCATGCAAGGTGAACAGGTTTTAAGAAATGTAACAATCATCCCTGAAGGTTCTCCAAGCCTAATTCCTTACATAGAAATAGTTTTGTAAATTACCTATTTAATGTGTAAATTTATCTAAAATCTTCTTCTCACTGTTTTATACAGCTAATTATTATTGCATACTTATTGTTGTGTGTGTGTGTGTGTGTGTGTATATATATATATATATATATATATATAT